TCAAGAGGTTTGCTTTAAGCATATTTCCTACTGGGTTAGTCTCATTCTGCAAGTATGCAAGTAAGAATTGGATGTAAATATAGTCTAATTAAACTGCAGGAAGTATGATTCAGAAGCATTATTGTTATTGAAGAACCATCTATAGGCCTGTATCTCTTAAAAAGCATTTAGTCTCCCTGTTTAAAATCCTCAGGTGTCACACGCGGCTGGTGTGGCTCTGTGGTTGAGCATCGACCTATGCACCAAGAGGTTGCAGGTTTGATTCCTGTTCAGGGCACATGCCCAGGTTGTGGGCTCAATCCCCAGTGGGGGGCAGGCAGGAGGTGGCCAATCAGTGTTCTCTCTCATCAATGTTTCTGTCTCTCTCTCTCCCTTCCTCTCTCTCTAAAATCAATAAAGAAACATTTTAAAAATAAAAATAAATCCTCAGGTCACAAATGTCGTCCTGTGTTTAGTATTTTCATAGCCTTTTTGATAAAATAACAAGTCTGCCACTTGTTAAATCATTTATGGACTTTTGCATGTCAGTGTTTAACCATTAATACTTTTTCTACTAATGTATACTTTAAAAGTTTGGTTCATATTATACCTCTTTTTAGTAAAAAAAAAAAAAAAAAAAAAGTAAATTGTGTGGACATATATAGCTTATAAAAAGCTGAAGTGATTGTATGCTTTATCATCCAAACCAGGCCACTGTATAAGAGACAGCGCAAGCACTATTAATAATTGTCCTGAGATAATGAGCACAAATTAGGACTTTTCTAGCTATAAACTGGGACTGGTCTAGGCAAAACAGGAAATATGGTCATCCTACTTAAAAGGAAAACAGTAGTTCTTTGCCCTACCCCTTCTACCCCTTACCTCATTCCCAGTCCCACTTTCCAAAGGCAGCAGCCTTCAATTTTTTAACTCTTCTAGGTTTTACTTTCCTATTTCTAAATGATGTATTTATATTGTTTATGATTTTCAATATTGTATGTGTTTTTCTCATTCACTATTGTCTTTATTTTTCCTCCCCACCTTCATCTCACAGCATGTATGTAACAAAATCAATAGACTGTTTAAAACTCTAAATATTAGGTGTTCACCCAAACACAGTACCTTTTTTCTGGAACAATAGCTCTGGTTTCCCAAGTTAGAAAATTAATTTATTAAATTGCCATTTTTCAGCATTTTTTCAGTTGTATTATTTTTGCCAGAATAGTTTCTATTTATTTGGTGCTTCCCCCCCCCCCCCCCTTTTCTTAGAACTTGGCTTCCATTATCTGTGATCCTGCTCCAATCTCAATGTTTTCATTGTTCCTTATGCTTTCCTCATACCTTTGTAACTGTTTCCTGGGTATTGTGTGTGGTTCTTGAGTTCCTTCCACTCTCATTTTCCTAGGACATGCTCTTCATTTAGCTTCCTGTGGTTTTTGTTTTGTCATTGATTTTATGTTAAGATCTTGTAAATCTGAAAATGTACCCTATTCTTCATCTCACATTTAGTTGTCGGAACTTAAGGCTAAACATTTTTCTCAGTATTACAGATACAGTCATCCCTCTCCACTTCGAGCTTCGTCGGTGGCAGCTTCGCTCTATCGCGGTTTCTTCAAATATAGTGTATAGTGTTGGAAAAAACAGAGATAGAGTGAAGACACGAAAGTCGAAGCGGGAAGTGGTGAGGGACGAATGTATATAAATAAAGAATCCTAGTTCGTGGAAATTGATTTATCACGATAGAGTCTGGAACTGATTAACCGCGATAAACGAGGGCCGACTGTATTGCTTCATTGTCTTAAGAGATTTTAAGGGTGCAATTAAGCCATTCTAATTACTTTTCATTTGTATGTGACTTTTTCACTCTTGTAAACTTTTATATCTGGTGTTCTGAAATTTCAAGATGATACATTGTGCTTTAGTGTTGGTCTCTTTTTTATGATCTGCTGAGTACTCTTGAACCCTTTCAGTGTGAAGATTTATATTCTTTAATTCTAGAAAGGTTCTTTTTATTTCTTTGATGATTTTTTCATTTCTTTCTCTCTTTCTATAACCATATTATAGTCAAATGATAACTCCCCTTGACAATCTCCAATTTTCAGTTTACATTTTCTACTTAAGAGAGGTTTACTCAATTTACTCCTCTAAGTCTTATGTTGATTATTTCAGTATATCACATTTTTTAAAAAGTGTATCATATTTTCAATATCCACAAGCTCATTATACTCTGACTGCTTTCTCAAGCATCCTGTTATTGTTTTATGAATGAATATATTATTCTTTTGAGGATAGTAATTAGCTTCTTTCCTTGGATTTTCTTTAAATTTTTGTTGTTGTTGACTTTTATCTGTTGGAGGCTTTCCTTGGATGCCTAGTTATCTTTGATGTTTGTCTATTAGAGAGAAGCACTAAAAAAGCAGATTAGAAACTCTTGGTGACTTTGTTGTGGGGTAGGATGATCAAATGGCAGCTAGCTTTGTAATTGGGAGCATATTCCAAAGGTTGATGTGCAGAAACCTTATCTCTGGTGTTTTGTTTGATGATCCAAGAGTAAAATCTCTTAGTCTTCCGACAGCATTATAGAAAGAAAATCAGAAAAGAATCCTTGTGTCAACATTGAGTGTATATATATTTTTATTCCTTATATTAACTCCCACATATTTAAGGAAAACTAATCAATTGCTTGTGAGATCCTTATTTCCAGAGAATAAATATCCTGTTTTTGGAAGAATGGAGCTAGGGGAAGAATTTGGGGTTTTACTGCTTTGACTACAAATTTTAATTCGGCAACTCATTTTCAACCTTTTTTATGGTACTTTGTACCTCTAGGTCTTGACCTTTCTAGTTCCACCTTTTTCTAAATACTTAGGGTATATACCGTTTCATCCTCTGCTGAATTCTACCTCTCCTACTTTGGATTCTCCAAATGTACATTGAAATCTTTTGCCTTCAATGGACCCCTTCCTGTTCTTTTCATGGTCAAAGCTTTGGATTAATTTACTGCCATTTATAGAGGTTTGGGAAAGAGGGGCCAAAATAGATGTATAAGGATAACCTGTCATGTTTAATTAGAAATTCAGAGCTGACCTTTTTTTTTATAAGCTTTTTTGATTTAGTCATATCTCATAGTATCACTTAACTCTGGTTTCTCATTGCTAGATGTTCTTAGCTGAATAATTTTAATTGATATTGAGCTTGTGTTATATCTTTTTTATATTTGTTGTGTGTCTCCTATTGCAATAGAGACCATATGTTTTGCTCATTTTTTTGCCCTCTTTATCCTTTCTGTCATTCTTGATACCATGTTTTTAAGACTAATATTGAACAGGACGTTCTTTTGTAGTACTTTTCAAGTAGAAAGATGTGATAATGAGGCCACATGCTGAAAATGAATTAGATATTTTTTACTTAAATTTTTTAATAAAGCAAATATACCCTATTTAAGATGCACATCAAGTAAGTGAAGTGCATCTCTTTCCACTTCCAGACAATAAGGGAATAATTTTTGATCTTGAAAGTTGGTAATTGGTAGAAGTTGAGAGTATTGTGCTTTCTTGTCATTTCCTACTTTCTTTTTCCTCATTTTCTTTCTACTCTGAAGACTGGTGGCATCTCTCAGTTATCCAGAGGCCTCATTGTAAATTTTTACCTAGGAAACCTAGACATTTTTTCTCTCTCTCTTTTTTTTATCCTCACTCGAGGACATTTTTTACATTTATCTTCAGATAGAGCGGGACGGGGGTGGGGAGAGAGAAAAACACTGATGGGAGAGAGAGACATTAGCTGGCTGCTACCCACACAACCCCAGCCGGGGCTGGGGACAAACTGCAACCTAAGTATGTGCCCTTAGCGGGAACCGAACCTGGGACTCTGGTCCTTGGACCAACGCTCTTAACCGCAGAGCCAAACTGGCCAGGGCAATTTTTCTTTTTAATTTATAAAAGTAACCTTGATAATAGCACTATTGTAATAGCTTAAAACTGGAAATAATCCAGTGTTCCTCCACAGTAGAATGGGCAAATAAATTGTGTGTTAATACAATGAAATATTATATATACCAGTTGGAGTGATCTTAACAAATGCATGAAACAACACAAATCTCATGAATACAATGGTGAGCAAATAAAACTAGACATAAAAGAGTACATATTCGTTAATATATAGTCAAAAATCAGGTGTGGCTGTGGTGTCTCGGCATAGGTTAAGAGGAATGTTTAGTAAACAAAACCTAGGACTTCTGTTTGAGATGAGTGAAAAAGATGAAGGAATTAAGAAGTACAAATTGGTTGGTAAACTGATGAACCTCAAAGGGAAGGGGGGAGGGAAGGTGGGATGAGATAAACCAAAGAACTTCTATGCATATGTGCATAACCAATGGATACTGAAAATAGTGTGGGGAAGGCAGGAGGGGGGTCGATTGGGAAGGAGTGGGTCAGTGGGGGACCTCTGTAACACATTCAACAATAAAGATACGTAAAAAAAAAAAGAATAAAATCTATATATTATTTTCACTTTGAGAAGGGGAGATAGGAAAACAAATTACCAAAGCATAAGGTAGTATAATGTCTTAATGAAAGTATGTATAAAGTGGAGGCAGAAAAATAAAAGTGCTTGTTTTAAAACCATAACCAGGAATTGAATGTGGATTGTGTAGACTTTCCTGGCACATACAAAGGCCTGTGAGAGCATTTATGTTATGGGATATGGAGTATTGAACACCAATAATAGATAAGAATAGCAAGATAATCAAGGGCAAATTTGTGTAGGATTTTATATGGAGACACAATTGAATAAGGGAAAGCGCCCAGGCTTTGGAAACAACAAGCCTTGATTTCTCTTTTTTACTTTTATTGTGTATGCTTCATTTTATGGACAGTAGGGAACTTTGATAGACTTTAGACCTCTGCCTTGTAAAAGAGGGGTGATGATAGTCTTATAATTTATCATGCCACATATAGTTAATTCTTGATTTGAGCTGCATGTTTTCCCAAAGGCAATTAATCACAATTTGAATTTCACAGGAAATCTTAAGAATGGAGTCTAAACCTTCAAGGATTCCAAGAAGAATTTCTGTTCAACCTCCAAGCTCTTTAAGTGCTAGGATGATGTCTGGAAGCAGAGGAAGTAGTTTAAATGATACCTGTCACTCAAGAGACCCTTCCTTTAGACTGGATTCTGAATATCAGGTAACATCTTAATTTGGAATATATGTACAGTTTTTTCAGAATCCATGGGGCCATGTGTGTCTTCTGGATTTTAGATACTGAGTAGAGTATGTTTAGAATACCCTCAGCTGAATTTGTGGCATCAAAACATTATGTTTGCAGCAAAATGAATGCTTGTTCATAACAAGTAGCAAAAACTTAATGTTTTTCAAACTTCTTGGGCTTTAGAATTATGAATGAGGGATTGTGATCTTATATAAAATGATAAGTATAAATTTAAGTTATTCAAAGTGGATGACTTTATCAAAGGACCAAAAATTGAATCTTTTCTCTCTAATGTTACATTCATTTATCTGACTTTTCTCTGCGAGTATACAAGGCAGTGGTGGAATAATGATTATTGTTAATTGGGGTTTTTTTTTGTGTTTTTGTTTTTTGTTTTTTTATCCTCACCCGACGACATTTTTCCATTTTTTGTACAGATAGAGTGGGAGGGAGAGAGAGAGAGAGAGAAACATCGACGTGAAGGGACACATCGAGTGGCTGCCACCCGCACGACCAACCAGGGCCGGGGACAAACTGCAACCGAAGTACGTGCCCTTAGCGGGAACCGAACCCGGGTCTCTCCGGACCGCAGGCCGACACTCTAACCGCTGAGCCAAACTGGCCAGGGCTTTTTGTTTGTTTTTGATGACACAGCATTTAAATACTTTGATTTCAGATGAATTTGGGGCTTTTTTTTAATGGTTAGTTTAGTAGTGACTGCATTGATTCATCATCTATATAAAGTTACACATGCTACTCTTAGTAGCTAATTTTCCTTAGGACTGACAACACTTTGGTTTTTGAAAATGTTCATTAGGGTTATATAAAACACAGCAGTTGAGTATGAAGCTATAACTCTCAGAAGGCATGATTTGTAGGTTTAGTGCAATTTATCTTTTGAATTTAAGTTTATTGCATTATTGGCTGAACAGCTTATTAAATCACATGTGATTTGCTAAAGTCTGATGTTTAGGTAACTGAATCTTATGACAATCCTTTAGTGAAAATTTCTGTCTTAAGTACTTATATGTCTATATATCATGTGATGCTGTATGTGGCAGCCATATAAAAATATTTCTGCACAGTAATAAGCATTTTATAAAATATTCATAGAAAGACTGAATTAAAAATAATTTCTCTAAAATGTCCACATCTACCTACACACTCATAATCTTTATATGAACTGTTTACTTGGGCTCATTTTCAGTGTTAATTGATTGTGTGTGTGTGTATTTTTGTTTTTGTTTTTTTATCCTCACCCGAGAACATTTTTCCATTTTTTTGTTCAGATAGAGCGGGAGGGAGGGAGGGAGGAAGGGAGGGGGGGAGAGAGAGAGAGAGAGAGAGAGAGAAACATTGACGTGAAAGGAACACATTGAGTGGCTGCCTCCTGCACAACCCAGCCAGGGCCAGGGACAAACTGTAACCGAGGTACGTGCCCTTAGTGGGAACGGAACTCGGGTCTCTCTGGACTGCAGGCCCACGCTGTAACCGCTGAGCCAGACCGGGGCAGTGTGTGTGTTTTTAAATTTTTATTTTGTTGCTAGACAAGAGTATGCTTGCCAGGGGTACAGAATCATATTTTTTGTATTCTGTAGAAATGCCGTGACTTATTAAGGAACACAGAATTGTTTTTTTCTCCTATATTTATAGAAATTTGTCTTCTATGTTTGTGTGATTTTCCATACAGCTTTTTAGTGAGGAACACCAGACTAAAACCAGACTATATGGCCTGGATTGGAGTATTGTTCCTTCAGTAGCTATTTGAACCTGGGCAAGTTATATCTTTCTTATTTTCCATATTATTTAGTCAATTGGGTTGTTAGCGTTAAATGAATAAATACATTGAATGAGAATAGTGCCTGCCACATGATAAGCACTACATAAATGTTAGCTCCTACATTTTTATTATAATTTGTTATGTTTGTGGATTAAATAATATGGAAACACCATATATTTATACAGTGCTTGACATTTTATAAACATTTTCCACTTTTAATTTTCTTTAAATAGGACTCATACTTGTGTCATTTGGAAAATAAGCATCTGAAATTTGGAAAGATGTGATTTTCCTCAGAAAATCATTAGTATATAATGTACTCGAGCTTAAGAATCTGTTAAACTTCTGGATAGCATTGTTTCTTCTTCAGGGAAATGGAGGTTCCAAGTTCCAAACAATTGACATTCTAAATATCTTTTGGTTCTCAGTCATTTGTAAGCTGGGTTGCCTCTATTGTTAATCTTGCTGATATTTCTGTTGCTCCAACTTTGAATTTTTGTTACAAATTGAATGGTTGAAAACTGTGATCATCTCATCTCTTTGGTAACAGTAGGTAGAATTTTAGATACTTTTAATAGAAAATTCAATTCCTATTAGACTGTTGAAAGTAAAAAACTTAAGAGTATACTATGAATATGTTTATGATACTTTTCTGTGACTTAAGCTAATTCCATTGCATTTTTCTTTTTTTGCTTTGTTGAGAGTGATTACTTTTAATATAAAATAATAAAGTAGTAGGCTTTTTATGAGGTTATAGGTGCTTTTTTCAGTTATTGGCATCTTTTCTAGTTTGTAAATAACTATTACAGAACTTAATTCCATTGCATATTTTGTTTTCTAAAGAATTAGGTGAACTAATGATATTTAACTTTTTTTTTTCCACTTATCTACTACAAGGCTACCTCCCATGGAAATAAATAAATGTGTATATACATGTATACACAATTAGACAAGTAAATGAAAATGGCTTTAAAATGGAATCAGGAAAAACACACATCAAATACTGAGTCTGGGTCAAGTTTGTAACATTCATAAAGCATTCATAAGCCTAGCATTGTTTTTTGTTTCTTTAAATACATTTTTATTGGGGTTTTTTATTTTATTTGTTTTTTTGTTTTGTTTTTTTTTGTTTTTAGAGATAGAGGTAGGGAAAGATCTCAGAGATAGAAACATCAGTGTGAGAGAGATACTTCAATCCGCTTCCTCTTGCACTCCCCCTACTGGGAATTGAGCCTGCAACCCAGGCATGGGCCCTGACTGGGAATCCAACAGGATTTCTCAGTTCTTGGAGCGACACTCAATCCACTGAGCCACACTGGTCAGGCAAGCCCAGCAGTGTTTTAAAACTTAACTTGTACTCTTGTTTTTGGTGCCAGGAAGATCACAGGGAAACATGACCAGCTTTATAAGGTGTTTTGTTCATAAGGAAAAGAAATAACCAATTTCTCAAAGGAAGCAACACTTGACATTCTGGTCTAAAAGAGGACAGTGAATGATAAAGTGGACTGTCTACACGTAGTAATCATACTATAAGTATATACCTGGTTTAGTGAAATTGTTTCTTGATAGACCTCAGTGAAAGCAAAGGACATGATACAAAGTGTATAGCTTAATGAAAACAGTTTTGTAAAGCAGCAACAGAGTAACTTTCTGGTAGTCTCTCATGATCCAGGTAGCAAACTTGAGGGAAAGGGAAGGGGCGTTGAGGTATAAATGGACTACAAGTCCTTTCTTCTTGTATAAATTCAAGGTTTTTTACCTGGGTATCTCATAAAGTTGACATGGATGAATCTATACATTTTAAAATTTAATTTAATTTTTATTTTTTTAAGTATGTTTTTATTGATTTTTTTTTAGAAAGAGAGGAAGGGGGGGAGGAGAGAAACATAGATGTGAGAGCGAAACCTGGGCATGTGCCCTGACCTGGAATCGAACCGAGACCTCTGTCAATGGGATGATTCTGAATACACAGTCACATCGGCCGGGCAACCTATATTTCTAAAGAGACAAACTAATCTTTTCTATTTTTAGGCATTATATTGGGTATACTGCCTAACCAATTAATGCATTAGGAAGATATAAAATAGTTTGTATATTTTGAATGACTTTTGTGTTCTGGGTGGTTTTATTTTGTGCATGTATATATTTATATGTTAATAGAGAGAACCTTGAGCTAAGAGTTTTAAAATATGTACTTATTTTAGCTATTTCTTGTTTCACTAATGAAGAGATTCCAAATATGAAGATATTTTTTTCAAAAAACATACTGTTTATAATATTGTATGACTGTATTCCTAACATGAGCATTAGATTAAGAATAAATTTTTTATTACTTGACAATCTTATTTTTGTAGTAGAGTGTTCACAATCACTTTATGTATTAGTACCTTGGCATTTTTTTCCCCTTCTAAGAACAGGAAACACGTGCCTCAGAAGGTTGCAATATTAAACCAGGAAAACAAAATTAATAACATTTTTGCTTTTATGAATTTCCTAACTAGATGTTTATACAGTTACAAATAAGACTTAATCTAAATCAGATTTATTACCCAACAAAGTACAATTTTTATATAAAGAGACAGTGGGTAGAAGGGACAAAGGTTTGGAAAACCAACATGGTAGAGACATTTGGTCTTCGGAAATGTATTAGAATATTGTAAATTAAATTTAATATTGAATGCAAGCATTTTGTTCTTTAAAAAAATTTTTTTTTAACAGTCTACATCTGCATCAGCATCTGCATCTCCTTTTCAATCTACATGGTATAGTGAATCTGAGATAACTCAGGGAGCACGCTCAAGATCACAAAACCAGCAACGAGATCATGATTCAAAAAGACCTAAACTTTCCTGTACAAACTGTACATCTACCTCAGCTGGGAGAAATGTTGGACATGGTTTAAATACAGTATCAGGTATGAATTAAATTTATGTAAGAGTTACACCATATGTATTTTGGACTAAAGCTCTTTTCCCAAGATGTGGTATATTAAGCAAATAGAGCACATGTAAGACGATAGGGTCAGAAATGGAGTGGAGTTGCCAACATCTTACCTTTAGTTAGTGCTAGAACTGAAATAAAGTCTCCATTTTGATTTTTTCTTCCTCTAAATTTGTTACAGATGTTTTATACATACAGAATATTAATGGATTTTAATTCATTAGAATAGCTGAAAATGTTTGGTGATCAGATTGGTAAAAGTGACATGTATTCTGCTGGTTATTATAGGAGGTAAATTTTGTAATTGTTACTGGGAAAGCCAGTTTTTTGAAGTAGGCTTAAAATATTTTCAAAGCATATCTTTTATAAATGAGAAACATTGTGGTATATATTTATTTTTAGAAAATATATCAAATTCTTTATTTAAAAAATAATTGGTGGTATTTTACTAGAGAGTTCTATACTAGGAATTAGAAAGCCATGGTTCTAGCCTTCTAATTAGATGTGTGCATTGAATAAGTCACTTAACCATTCTGGGATTTAGATGGCTTATCCATACATCTTTATGCTTGGTATCTTGTACTCACAGACATATATGTTGCACAAATTGAAAAGATCTTTTATTGAGAGGGCAGGAGGCTCTTTCCTTATTTACACTTCCTTCAAATAAAATTGTCCAATGCCTGAAATAGTTTTAAGATGAGACAGAACTTGTGATGACACAATTGGAGATATGCATATGTATTCCAATTGCATTTAGTGTAAGCCATTCCTTTGTATTTTAATAGGCAGGACTGCCATGGGAAAGACACTGCCCTTCTGAAGGATATTAAAAGTAATGTGGTGGGTAAGAGCAGACCTTAACTGTGTAGACAGATACCACTGTGCAGAGATTTTTGTTCTCTTCTGCTCTATGAAGGCAAAGCATTAAATACCCCGGGTCGTTTCCCTTAATGAAGAGGAATTATTAAGGCTATTGGGACCAAAAGGAAGAATCAACATTTTGAAGTAAATAATAAGGGAGGGGGGGAGCTTTGAGACTTAATTTTCAATTTATTTTTAAATTAAATTGTATCTAACAAAATTTACATAATAATTGCATTGATGCATTAATTCTTAGACTAGGAACGAACCAAATGTGGTGGCAGTGATATTTCTGATAAATAGTATTATATAACCTTCTGTTATAAGGTGGGTTTGATTTTGATTTTGGCTGTTTTCCAACATCACTTTCACTGACTTCTCATGATATTCTGCATCTTCAGCAAGTTTTGCATTTTTTTCTGTAATCATTTTTACATCATGTTTACATTGTATGGTCAGCTAGAGAATGAATGACACATTAGCATTATGGATGGGGATAGAGTCTAGTGTTAGAGAAGAGTGTTTTAGTAGGAAATGTTTTTATAAGTGATGAATTTATTTAGTGAATAATTATGTTTTGCTAAATTTTGCTTCTGATTACAACTGTATAACTGGGGATTTCTGTAATAAATCACAACCTCCCTGTGTAATACTGAAGATATTTTGTCATCAGAAACCTTAAAAGATTTATCTGAATTAAAACTTCTTTGATTATTTTAAGATTCTTCTTGGAGGCATAGTCAAGTTCCAAGATCTTCATCAGTGGTACTTGGATCATTTGGAAGTGACTTAATGAGAGAGAGGAGAGATTTAGAGAGGAGAGCAGATTCCTCCTTTAGTAATCTTATGGATTATAGTCACAGAAGTGGTGATTTCACAACTTCATCATGTATGTATAAACTGTATTGTTATATATAACTTATCTAATTATATTTTTCTTTTTATGTCACTAAAATCACAGTACAAAAGAATAAATGAAGTGAATCTTATGTATATGTCATGAAGTATACTAAATAATTGTATATTCCAGTATAATTTGCCTTATGTCCTATAATAAGTAACTGATTATAGTTAAATTCTGAACTAAAGCTTGAAATCACCTTTTTAAGACAATTTAGAATTACCTTAATTTAACACTAATGTGCCTTTTCATTTAGTTGGAAGTACCCACACTGTTTATCAATGCATATAAGTTAAGCTTTTTGAATATAAATACCATAAAACAATAGAACTAAGTAACTGAAGACAAAAAGTGCTAATCGAAGTAGACAAATGTAGCGGGAAGATACGTTTGATTTTAAAGATTTAGTTTCTTTTAAATAAGTGTATGGGGCAGGCCTTTGCTTTATTTAAGACAAAACATCTTTTTATTTGCTTGGCTTTGAATGGATGACATTTAGTAGACAGTGTCAATAGCTTCTAGGTTTGGAAGTATAAAAGCACAAGATAGAGCCCAACCGGTGTGGCTCAGTGGTTGAGCGTCAACCCATGCACCAAGAGGTTGCCCGTTCGATTCCTGGTCAGGGCACGTGTCCAGGTTGTGGGCCAGGCCCCCAGTGGGGAGATACAGGAGGCGGCCAATGGATATTCTCTCTCATCGATGTTTCTATCTTTCTCCCTTTTCCTTCTTCTCTCTCTAAAATCAATAAGGGGCGGGGGGAGCACAAAATAGAATAGATATAGCTTCTAACAGTTTATCCTTTCATGAGGCTGTATTAGCACAGTAGTAATCTAGCTCTTAAACTAGGTATATGGATAAATATTCTTTATAAAGGAATGTTATAGTATTTGTCATCCCTTTGAAGTTTAGAGCCTCCAGTGGTGTACTTTAAAAATTTTAGATATCAGTACTCTATTCTGATTCATAGCTCCCAGCCAGTATTAAAAAGCAAAGGTATGTTAGATGAGTAACCAGAGATAAGAACCACTGCTGTTACCCTGAAGGAGGGAAAAATTGGACAATTTTCTAGCTATTAGCAGTTTGCCATAAAATTACAAGGGCAATGATATTTATATGAAATAACCTTTATACTTACTGCAGAGTAAGAAATATCTCCTAAACACTGTCTCCCTAGGATTATTTTGCTCTGATTTGTTATGAGTTAATTACACTGAGATATTAGATATTCTACCATATCAATTTCTAATCAGCAGATTCAACTGTTTTTACCTTCATCAAGTTAGTAGATTGATGTTTACCTCTCATAAGCTTTCATTTCTTTTTAGTTTGTAATGTTGACTTTATACAGAATTGCTGGATTTCACCAAAGGTATAGAAAGTGAAGCACATCAATGTTTTTTTCTATAATAACAGTTAAGCTGTGTAGCTATAATGTAGTAGTATTCGGTTTGAAACCAGCATTTCTTTGGGGCAGTAATTAGTCATTAATAAATGCAAATTTTAATAATAGTCAAATATTTCATGTAATTGGTTATTTTTCCTTTCTTTCAAAAATAGATGTTCAAGACAGAGTTCCTTCTTCATATTCACAGGGCGCAAGACCAAAAGAGAACTCAGTGAGCACTTTACAATTGACTACATCATCCACAAACCACCAAATGCCTTCTGAACGCCAGACCATACCGTGTTCTAGGGACTCTAGCAGAAATTCTTTAAGATCAAATTTTTCTCCAAGAGAATTGGAGTCTCCCCAAAGCAGTACACAGCCTGGATTTTCTTATATTTCAAATAGAGGTGAAACCTCAACCATAAGCAATTCAGATAGGGTTGGTTCATCTCAAAGATCATTTCAAGAATCTTCTGACAATGAAGGTCGACGTACGACCAGGAGATTGCTATCACGTATAGCTTCTAGTATGTCATCTACTTTTTTTTCACGAAGGTCTAGTCAGGAATCCTTAAATACAAGATCATTGAGTTCAGAAAATTCTTACATTTCTCCAAGAATCTCAACAGCTTCACGGTCTCGTAATGCAGCATCAACTTCTGACGTTCCTGATAATAGGGCATCTGAAGCTTCTCAGGGATTTCGATTTCTTAGGCGAAGATGGGGTTTGTCATCTCTTAGCCAAAATCATAGCTCTGAGCCAGATTCAGAAAATTTTAACCAAGAATCTGAAGGTAGAAATTCAGGACCATCATTATCTTCCTCATTTAGAAATAGATGCACACCTTTGTTCTCTAGAAGGAGGCGAGAGGGACGAGATGAATCTTCAAGGATATCCACTTCTGATATACCGTCTAGATCTCACCATATTTTTAGAAGGGAATCAAATGAAGTGGTTCACCTTGAAGCACAGAGTGATCCCCTTGGGGCTGCTGCCAACAGATCACAAGCACCTGCAGCATCGAGCAGTGCTGCTGCAGGAGGCTCCACATCTGATTCAGCTCACAGTGGAAGAAACACAGGAATAACAGGGATCCTTCCTGGTTCCTTATTTCGATTTGGAGTCCCCCCTGCCCTTGGAAGTAATTTGACCGACAATGTCATGATCACTGTAGATATTATTCCTTCAGGTTGGAGTTCATCTGATGGAAAAAGTGATAAAACTAAAAGCGCACCTTCAAGAGACCCAGAAAGACTGCAGAAAATAAAAGAGAGGTAAATTTGAACACCTGTCTTAAGCCCACAAAGCAAGAGCAGATTAGAGGAAAAACTACTTCTAAAATGGCTTCTTAAACATTGATACCTTAAGTTTTTTTTCCCTTGAAATTTACAGTAGGATGTTAGCATTGGTGTTACCTCTTAACTCAGGTAAAATGGATGAGAATTAATAATGGAGGTAGGCACTAGGGTGTCTACTGCATCAAGAAATAATCTAAAGATTAGCTTTAAACAGCTTTGGAAACAGATGCACACAAAGACAAAAATCTTAATCTTTTACATTATTCCTTGATAGATTATTGCTAAATTGAATCTGTAAGGAGGTCCAAGTGGTCATGAATTATTAAGATAATTACTAAGATGATTTATATACTCTATAATTCTCACCTCAAATCTTTTGAAGGTACATACTATTAATTTGGTTTTTGAAGTCCCAAGTATTTTTTATATTGTAACTGTTCGGTAAATAAGTTTAAAGTTTAGACTTTTAAACCTTTATACAAATGAAATCTTTAGTGCAGTTGAAATTTGCTTTAAAATCTCTGTTAAGAGTAAAAAGATGAAAGATCAGCGATTTTAGAACCAAATTGAGTATTAATTTTGTCATCTTAGTATACTTATTTAGTTTTTCCATCTAGTAAATGAATTTTAATGATAAAATGGGTTAGGGTAGTACATGTAAAATATAGGAAGAAAAGACTATATAAAGCTAAGGTTGTAGAATGTTTTGTTTTTTTTCTTGTTCATAAAGGCCTAATGTAATGGAATTTGCGGGGAACATAACTATTACTATCATTTGAGATTCCTTTGTACTTTTAAGGCGAAATACATTCAAATCTAATTCTGGGGATAAAGGGAGCTTTACAAGCTTTCTGAGATGTTCGGCATTGGGCTACTACTATATTCCCATTTTTCCTTATGTGGGAGAAATTATACTATGTGACGGTTCTCTTTCTGCTTTTAAAATTTCTGGTTTTTCATTTCTTGGAGAAAGATTTCCTCTCTGTCCTGATAGTATTAGTTTTAACATTATTGTAGTCTCTCCCTCTGATTGCAAGCTGTTTACTGAAGAATGTAGTTATAACTATTATAGCAATTATAACTGATAGTTGTAAGTATTTCCTGTGCTCAAGTTAGGTTAATTTGAGTGCAGTGGTGTAAGCAGCAGGCAAAGCGTTAAATTGAGTGATTTCTAGAGAGAAACAAATTAAGACAGCACCACTCTTGTCTGGTCAGATAGTTTAAAAGAGACATTTGTTGATTATTTTGCCATGGAGTTCGTGTGTGTGTTTTTCCTTTATGATATTTTTTGCTTATGAGGATTTTAAGATTTTCCATTATTTTTTTAATCTTCACCCAAGGATTTTTTTTTTTTCATTATTTTTTTTTTTTAATTTAAGATAGAGAGGAAGAGAGGGGGGAGAAGGGGGGAGAAAGAGAGAACATCAATGTGAGAGACAGACATTGATTTGGTATCTCCTACATGATCCCGACCAGGGCCAGGGATCAAACCTGCAACTGAGGAACGTACCCTTGACTGGGAATTGAACCCACAAATCTTTGGTCCATGGGCCATCGCTCTAACTGCTGAGACAAACCATCCAGGGCAAGACACTACATTTAAATGATAGCAGTTCTCCCTTACCTGCGGTTTTGCTTCTCGTGGTTTTAGTTATCTGTAGTCAACTATGTTCAGAAAATATTAAATGGAAAATTCCAGGAAACAATTCATTAATTTTATATTGGGATTTTCTGAGTATCATGATGAAATCCCATGCCTCCTGGCTCTATCCTGCTCATGATGTGATTTGTTCCTTTGTCCATCATTTCTACCCTGTACAGACAGTACAATAAGATACTTTGAGAGACAGACCACATTCACATTAGTTGTATTACAGTATATTCTAATTGTTCTGTTTTATTAGTTACTAATTTCTTACTATGCCTAATTTGTAAATGAAACTTGATCATAAATATGTGTTTAGGAAACATGCACGTGTGTGTGTGTGTGTGTATATGTGTGTGTGTGTGTGTGTGTGTGTATAAAACAAACATACATGTATGTTTTTGAAGCATACATATATATGTTTTGGAAATTATATATATATGTTTTGGAAATTATATATATATATATATTATATATATATGTATATCTCCCAAGTTGAGAATAATTGAAATTATAGCCCTGGCCAGTTCGGCTCAGCGGTTGAAACATTGGCCTGCAGACCAGAGAGTCCCAGGTTCGGTTCCCACTAGGGGCACATACCAAAGAAAAAAAAAGAATAATTGAAATTATGAACTATAGAAAGTTCAATCTAAAGGTAAAATGTAAAGATTTTTGTTTGAGGTCATACCTCTTGTTAAGCCAGGACATGAAAGTTAACCTAACAGCTGTGTACCTATTCCTCTTTGTACACATTTATTGCTAAATTTTTGGGGAACCCATATGATCCAGATTTTATTTCAGTAACAATTACACGTTCAATGTAATTTATTTACTGAATACCTCTTTTATGGCAGCAGTGGACTAAGCCAGTAGGGATTTAACAAAAAATGTAATTTCTTCTTATATACCTATTAGTTCACATTTAAATTATTCTACATGTTGGCCTGTTGGGTAGAATACATAGGTTAATGGAAACTGCTCCACACTTAAAGCCTAACCTTGTATAAGCCAAGGTGACGTAATAACATTGTTGGAGATGGGGAACATGGAGAATGAGGAAATCTATTCTTTTGGTTTTTACTGTGATTTAATACAAAAATCTTATCATTTTGAACATAATGTTGTTCTGACAAATTGTAAATGAGGAGTTATTAGCCTGTATTTAAGTCATTCAAGTTGTTTATTTTTCTTTATTGATTTGAGAGGGAGAGAGAGAGAGAAACATCAATGAGAGATAACATTGATTGGCTGCCTCCTGGATGCCCCCCACTGGGCATTGGGCCCACAACCTGGGCATGTGCCCTGCCTGACTGGCAATAGAACTGGTGACCTCTTGGTGCATTGGTCATTGCTTAGCCGGTGAGCCACACTGGCTGGGCAGTTCATTCAAGTTGTTTTAAACGGTTTTTGGAGGTCAGCTGGTGTGGCTCAGTGGGCTAAGCATCATCCTGTGGACTGAGAGGTCCTGGTTCAATTCCCGGTCTGGGCACATGCCCGAGTTTCATGCTCGATCCCCAGTAGGGGACATGCAGGAGGCAGCCGGTAAATGTCTCTTTCACCCTAATGTTTCTATCTCCTATCTCTCCCTTCCTTTCTAAAAGATCAATAAAAAAAACATTAAAATATATATAATGGTTTTTGGGAGACGGGGTGGGAGTGTGCTTGAAGTAGTCTGCGATACTGCAGAGATTAAACTCTCTTAGGGATACTTGTAAAGTAATTGTGAAAAATGTGGAACTGTAGTACCAAAGACAGAATTAAATCATTTGAAGGTAAGTAATAGGATAGCTTATTTCATTTACTTTTAAAATATATTTATTCTCATTGTAATGTTTTTCACTGTGGTTGCTGTTGTCTTTTTTCCCCCCTCTAACCAGAGAGAGAGTGTGTAGAAACAGCAAAAAAGACATTGTTTGGAATTATGTATGACTGGAAATGTGACCAAGCAGTATAAGTTTTGATACCTTTGTTTAGGAAATGTGCCTTCTTTTCCAGCCTCCTTTTAGAGGACTCTGAAGAAGAAGATGGTGACTTATGTAGAATTTGTCAGATGGCAGCTGCATCGTCATCCAACTTGCTAATAGAGCCATGCAAGTGTACAGGAAGTTTGCAGTATGTCCACCAAGAGTGTATGAAAAAGTGGTTACAGGCGAAAATTAACTCTGGTAAGATTTTACCTTATTGTATATTTTTATAATTTTTCCCAAGAGATGCACACATGTAATATGTATTTTAATTAAGTCATTTCAATTTATCGATTGTCGGATTTATATATGTATATACATATATATATATATATATATTATTATTATTTTTTTTTATAATTCTCACCTGAGGGTATTTTTCTACTGGTTTTCAGAGGGGGGGGGGCATTAATGTGAGAAAGACACCGACTGGCTGCCTCCAGTACAATCCCAGCCAGGGCCTGGGTGTTGAACCCGCAACCCTTTGGTCCATGGGCCATTGCTGTAACCATTGAGCCAGACTGGCCAGGGCTAAAATTTATGTTCTTAATCAAAAGTGTCTTGATAATTTTTGAAACAAAAACATTAAAGAGCATTGGTCTTGTATCATAACTTTAATTTATAATAGTGTTTCTTGTATTTCATGTACCCAATAAACAATTTACTTCTTCACAGGTGTAATACAATGATAATTTGCTGCTGTTGGGTAACCCTTATGTCATGTAAGATCCCTTTAGATTAAAGAAACATATGTACACCTTGGCTGGTTTGTCTCAGCAGTTAGAGCATTGGCCCATGGACCAAACGGTTGTGGGTTCGATCTGATCAAGGGTATGTACTTGAGTTGCAGGTTTGATCCCTGGCTGGGTCGGGAGGCGATCAACCGATGTTTCTCTTTCTCCCCACCCCCACTCTTATCTAAAATATCAATGGGAAAATATCCTCAGGTGAGGATTAAAAGAAAGAAGAAATATATTTACTATTTATCAGCTATGTGTTCTTGAAAAAGATTTATTGTTTCTAATGCTGTTGTCTAATGTGCAGTAATAATGAGGTTACTGTAGAGATTCATTTGTTTATTGCATGTCTGTTATGAAACCAGGCACAGTTCTACATGTGAGGTATAGAATGATAAACAAGACAGAGAAGGTACTTGCCCTTGTGGTGGTAATACTGGGTGTGTTAGAAGGAATGCCTTTGAAGTGAGGACATTTATACTGAACAAAGGAGTTAGCTAATCCAGAACAGGGGAAAGCATTCCAGCAGAGGGAACAACTAGTGCAAAGACTTTAAGGTGGCAATGACTTAGAACTGAATGAATCTTGCATGTGTTTCTGGAGTAAAATTACTGGGCAAGGAGAGGAGTGATACTGTTGAAATAAGAAATTAGCAGAGGCTAGCTCGTTCAAGACTTTAAAAGCCAATGTCTGAAGTTAGATTTTTATCTAAGTATGAGGGGAAGCCTCTGAAGGGCACAGGGGTGTGAAATGATCTTATTTCTATTTTGGGTGCTTTGTGGACAGTGGATATTAGGAGGACACGAGTAGAAGCAGGAAGCCAACCAGTAATCAGTTTTAACCAACCAGAAATCTGTCTTATAAGAGGTGATGGTGGTGGTAGAAATGGATGGATTTTTGGTATGTTTTGGAGGTAGAGTCTATAAGACTTGCCAGTGGATTGGGTTTGGTGAAGTAAAGCAGTAAGAACAACTAGGGAAGCCCATATTTTTGCCATAAACAACTAAGCAACTAGGGTCATTTAATGAAATAAAGAACATAGGGAATGGAATAAATTTGGGACAGGAAATCGAGTTCTGTTTTAGGAATGTATATGAACTGCTTATTAACCAGATGGAAATGTCAACTGGGCATTTAGCTAAACAATGGAAATTATAGCTTGGGGAATCATAATACTATTTTTAGTATTGGGATTTAAATAAGGTCACTTAGAATAAGAACAGATAATCAAAGAAATGAGCCCAGGACAGAGCCTTGGTACACCCACACACTTAGTGGGAGCAGAGGAGATTTGAGGAGCAGCCTCAGTCTAGTAAGAAGAAAAGTAAGAAAATGGAGTGCTGTGCAAGCCACAAAAAAGAGTTTTAAGGACGGTGTAATCCACCCTGTCAGATGATATACTACAAAGAGATAAGAACAATGAAATGACAGTTGGATTTGGTAGCATACATCTTCGTAGCTTGTCTCTGGAGTGGTGGCATCATAAGCATGATCAGACTGTGCTGTGGAGAAAGGGAAACATGGGATCCAGTAGTTAGCCTTTAATAGGAAAAAAGGTACTTAATCTCAAGAAGACTAGTGTAGATAGGGATGTCGATCGGTTGCTTTGGTGGAAACATATAGTACTTGGATTCCTATATAATTATTTCTGTTTTCTTAGTTAAAGGAGGTAAGGTCATTAGCTGGTTAGGGGATGGTTTAAGAGATTTTGATGTGTGGGGAAAATACCATTCTGAGACGTTTTCAGGAAGTACCAGTTTCATAAAAATCAGTGGCCATGAATATGATTCACAAGTGAAATATATTACACTTTTTTAGAAGCAGTTTTTATATGTTCGAAGTTGAGTTCAGTGGGGTTGAGGTATTTTTTTTTTAATACATTTTTATGGATTTGAGAGAGAGGAGAGGGAGAGGGAAATATCGATGTGAGAAACATTGATCAGTTTTGCCTCCTGTACATCCTCTACTGGAGATTGAGTCCACAACCTGGGAATTGAACCAGTGTTCTTTTGGTGCATGGGATGATGCCCAACCAACTGAGCCACACCAGCCACGGTGGGGTTGGGATCTTTACCAGACAAATATGAAGGGGGTTAAGGGTATTTGTAAGGACATAATTATATTCATGGTAATTAAAATCAGGAGGATATAAATACATCAGCAAGTGGGTAGTGAGGAAGTGATTGGGTCAGAGTCCTTGAGACTCATTGACATGAAAGAGAATTGCCAGAGTAGGTGAGTTAAAATGATAAGAAATTGTAGGTACACAGGAAGAGAGGATGCTTAAAATATAGATTTAGGGGTAGTGCAATAAACTGTGGTGACAGGGTCAAGGGTATGACCATAGAGTAGGTGGTTAAGATGGGGAAAGGTGATATAAGAAGCAAGGTTGTTGAAGTCAGCATCAGAAGTGAATGATCTATGTGGATGTTGAAATAACCAGGAATAAGTTGGTAAATAAGAGAGAGAGCCAGATGTTAGTCATTGATGAATGAAGAGTTTCAAAAGAGCAATAGGTTGGGGGGATGCAGCTGCAGAAGAGTATCAGCTTGGGTCTGGGGCATTATGGTTCAGGAATGGAGTTAAATAGATTATTTAAAAGAGATTAGTTATTAGAAAGTTATATTTAGACCATAAGTATCAGAGGACATAGTGAATTGACTAGAAGAGGGAGAAAGATGGGAAATTAGATCAGATTAATAAATATACATACTTATGTAAGATTGAAGGTTTGATAATGATACCTTAGAGACATAGCAAATAGGTTTTGAGGTATGATGGTTTTAATTTTAATAATCTGTTGGAGGATTCTGGTAACCTGTTCAAGCTGGAGATTATGAGACTACTAGAAAACTTTTTTTCTGCAGCCAAGTAGCAAAGGTGTCCTAGAGGTAGGGGCATTATTTTTTCTTTTAAGCTAACCTGATGCCAAAGCTGTGGGATGGGCCATTTCACCTATAGCCTCTTCTTGGCTGTATGGTGTTATGATAGCCTTGTAGTCTTTATTTGTCACTGTCCTGGAGTGTTACTAAGATTAAATGAGTGCTCAGCATGGCTTTTGGCAGTTAGTAAGGGCACAGAAATGTTAGCTATTACCAAAATGAAAAACATCTTGACTCAACTTCTAATATATTTGCAATTGGATTGTTAGTGTAGTGTATTTAGGAAAACAGACAATACAGTGTATTGTTTAAGAACATTGGCTTTTTGGAGTTAGATAAGCCTAGATTGGAATAATGGCTCCAACACTTAACAGTAGGATCTTGAGGAAGCTTTTTACTACTGGTTTTCAACCCTTGCTACTAATCAAAATTACTCATTGAAGATTTTTTAAATATGGATTCCTTGGATCCACTCCTGAATGGTGTTAAGTAGGTCGGGGGCAGGGCTTCAATTTCATCATGACTTAAATTGAGTAATACTTCATAGGCCTATTGTGAAGGTCAAATGAGATGATGTTTACAAATAGTTCCTCACAGTACTGGGCACATAGTAATTACTCAAGTGGGTTTCATAATGTTATAATAAGTACTTTCTAAGATAAGTACTTTTAAGAAATGATCAGATGAATCTGAGGATCTCAAGAACTAAACCTTTCTGATAAATTTTCATGATCCTTTCTCATACTAATCATAAATAACCCCATCTGGTAGAATATTCATTCTGGTAGAGAGTGACTTAACATGTATTAAGCAGTTGCCATATATAGACTGTTTAACTATACAGGATATACAAAAATGAATAAATGAAGTTTAGGCCAATGTAGTCAGGGCCTACTGGAATGACATGGGAAATATTGGTGAAAGAATGTAGGGATAAGTAGGTTCCTCCTAGCTGAGTATGGCTTTTTGAACAACTTTTGTAAGTAACTTATTCCATGTAAAGAAAAATGAAGCTCTAAGATAGAAAGTAATTTGTGTGGAATGATCTCCAAGATTCGTATTTAGTCGTCACCTTAGCTTTCCTGTTTCTGAATCAAAGACTAGTTTTAAGAAATGTCTCACAAGCGAAAACCTTCTTAATGTCTTTCACATTCTCTATATTCATATAAGTGGAATAATGAGGTATTTGTCCTTTTTGTATCTACCTTATTTTAGCATAATGTTTTCAAGATTCATCTATGTAGTGGCATTTATCAGGACTTTATACCTTTTATGTAGAAAGGAGCTGTTTTGATCTGGACAAAGGTGGATTTCTCCTTTTTTCTTTCGTAGCCTAAGGACAGCACATTTCTTAAACTACAGAAGGTCTTAGGTATATATTGTCACATCAAAGATACTGGCCTGGATATATGCAACTAGTTGAGATACTATGTTATTAAACATTGTTTTAATGCCATCTTGCCAGTGTACTTAAGCAGGAAGTAGGAAGTACAGATGACATTCCCTTATCAGCTTCCCAGGATCAGTAATGTATGAGTATTTGAGAGAAGAAAACAACAGATATCTAAACAATGGGTGGAGGCTTACATTCCATAGAATAGGACTTGATGTGCACACTAGGTGTTGCTGATTGTTATTTTAAGAAACATTACTGGTTTATGGTAGTAATCCAGTCTACCTTCTTCCCTCCCTTCCTTTAGATTTTCTCTGTTCTAAGCTTAAAACTTAAAAGGAAAAAATGTTTTGTGGAGACATCGCAAAATTAAGCTTCACTTGTAATTTAATTATTTTTACCAGGTTCTTCATTAGAGGCTGTAACCACCTGTGAACTCTGTAAAGAAAAATTGCAGCTGAACCTGGAGGATTTTGATATTCATGAACTGCATAGAGCTCATGCAAATGAACAAGTTAGTATATTTTGCCTAATTTGGTAAGTGTCTGTTCCATGCTTCAAGGACAACTCTTGAAGAAAAGATTAAGACATGGTCAGAAAACCAGCATTAATAAAAATATAAAATAGTAATGTTCATAACATAATTCTGTTACTACATTAGGTATTATGACTTTATAATTTTTATTTTTCTCATAATTTTTTGTAACTGAAAGGCAAATAACCAAGTCACAGGTTTTTAATTTTATTTTTTTTTTCTTATCCTCACCTGAGGACATTTTTTGCATTTATCTTCAGATAGAGCGGGAAGGGGAGAGGGGGGAAGAGAGAGAGAGAAACATTGATGTGAGAGAGACACATTGACTGGTCGCCATCCACACAACCCCAACCAGGGCCTGGGACTCTGGTCCGCGGGCTGATGCTCTAACCGCTGAGCGAAACTGGCCAGGGCAGGTTTTAAATTTATTTAGATAAAATACATCATGTGCTTCTTAAATAAACCTGAAAATATAAAGGCTTAGGAAAGTGGTCCCAAAGTAGGCATGCCAACCATATGTCCCTAGAGATGTCTGAGTTACAGTGCTGATGAGTGCTAGAACATGATTAAAACACCAACCCCTGGATTTGTTTCCTATTTCTGTATTTTTTATGTTAGCAATAATTTTTATGTACATATCTGACTACATGTTCTTACTATCCTTGTTCCCTCCACCCTCCTCATTTCTGCCTCCACCTTTATGTCAAACAGGTTATTTTATGAAATCTTGTATTTCACGTTTACATTGCCCCCCTCCCGTTTTAGTATTTATAGCATTATAGTCTACCTGTTGTTCATATAACGAATAATGCCAGGATTTCTCTGATCATAATAAATTAATTTTTAAAATATTTTCAAATAAATTTTTAAAATATTTTTTTCTCAGATTTATTGGTATATATTGAAACTCTTATTCCCCAATAATTTTGATCACTAATTTTTGTTTCTTGAAGAGCTTTAAGTTAAAAAAATGTTGACATGGAGTTCACATAACATAGAAAACTCCATTATCCCCTGGAAACCACCAGTCTGTGTTCTGTCTCAGTGAAGTTACCTGTTCCGAACATGTCATATAAATGGAGTAATGCAGTCTATGGTCTTTTGTTGACACTCTTTACTTGTAAATGTGGGAATAAATGGATACCCCTTGAAATCTGATTAAAACCATGAACGCTTCTTACAAAATATGCATAGACACAAAATGTGTATATAAGTTAAGGGATTCCCAGATCCCTTGAAGCTAATTGCTTAGATCCAGGTTAAAAATCACTGATCTAGTGAAAGAAACTTTAGGCATTTGATGTAGTACAAATGCTACTTTAATAGTAATTAGCTTGTTATTCTCTTAAGTCAGTTGTCCAAAAAGAACACCATTTTAAGCAAGGAATTTTCTAAAATCCCCAGAGTCTCTAGACAACTGAGCATTGGTACTTTAAAGAATGGAGGGAATAGTATAGAAAGATGGAATAATGCTAATAAATTCTTTTTATTCTCAAAATGAGAATAGGATTCAAAGAATGGTTCTCTTTTGCCATTTTTCCTTTTCTAGGTGCTTCATCATGTCTTTTAAAGGTGTTGTTTGGCTTTTCAATTCAACCAGGAATGTTTTTACTGAAGGAATTTCATGATTCACATCTTAAATAATTTATAAGTGTTAGGAAATATTAGGTGGAGTAGTTGTAAAAAAAAAAAAAATGACAGTTTGATTACACTTCCTGGCTTTAACTTCTTTGTGAATCATGGATTCTAGTGGCCTGACAACTACCCCCATTTTAAGTGATTAGTTTAATACAGTTTAGTATTTCATTAAATGGATAATTAAGTGAAGCAAGCATATAAAGAAACTTTTAATAAATATTAAATTCTTGAATACTCAAGAACCTGATAACTTGCTGAAGTTGGTACTAAGAATGCACACTTTCTAAGATACCCCAAAATGGTACAGCTTGCAAATAGTTTATAAAAACTACAGGACAGTTTAGATATTTAAAACACTATGATTTGTAGTCTTAGCTTCAAAACAGTAGAAAAAATTGGAATCAAACTATTTGAGGAACAGTTAACTCTATTTCCTTTTTTCCTTAGTTCATTTTTAAAATTTTATTTTCTTGTTAATCCTCACCAGAAGATACTTTTCCATTGATTTTTTTAGATAGAGTGTGTGTGTGTTGAGGGGGAATGATGTGAGAGAGACACATAGACACATCGTTTGGTTGCCTACCGCATGACCCTGACTGCCACCAGGTATTAAGCCCTAAACTGGCCAGGGCTCCTTAGTTTTGTGATTACCATTGCCTTTAAATTAATTGTATTACATGAGGAACATTTGACCTATCAGAATGGGTATTAGTTACATAGTATATTTAGTTAGCTATACATGAAATGGTAATTTTTAAGGAAATATTTATAGCCATTTGTGCTATGAAATTATGAGTTTTATAGAGAACCAGAACATTCATTCTACCATCAAATGATTTAAAAGACCCACTTTTATATAAAGTTACATAAAGAAAGATTATATGAAACTAAAGATTATATTCTCACACTTATTTGGACTCATTTGGCATTAGTAAAAATTTATGAAGTTATGAAGGGTGGCCCTTTATTTTCTGTTTTAAAAGATGGCACCAGTACTAGGAACTAGACATGAATGTATTTCTCATGTATTTCCTCTAGTTTATCAGTGTGCTCTTGACTATCAATCTTGAGTTTACTAATTTTTTGTTCTCCATATTCTTCTCTTCTTTTTCTTGTTTGTTTCTCATTGAAGGCTGAGTATGAATTTATCAGCTCTGGTCTCTACCTAGTAGTGTTACTGCACTTGTGCGAACAAAGCTTTTCTGATATGATGGGAAATACAAGTGAACCAAGCACAAGAGTCCGAGTAAGTAATATTGGAGTGGGGGAAAAGGGAAGATGTGATGCACCAATATCTGCTTTCAAAAACAGATTGTCTTATATGCTCACATTCTATTTCTTTTGAGAAGCTCTTGTAATAAAATATTTGTTAAAAATAAAGATATTGTAGACTTAATAGAAATTGCTGTTTTCTGTATCAAGCAGCCTAATTTTCTTTACAAAGCTAGTTTGGAGAAAGATGTAATTTTCTAGCTCTTAAAGGTAATTGGAATATTATTTCAGTGAAAAACAGAATTGGAAACACCAAGGGGAAAAAGCTTTTTTAAATTGAGAGGTGGGGGTACTTAGTATTATAATTTAGAAACCTGAAATTGAACTTCAAAAACCAAGAGAGTATGGGAAATTAACTTCAATTTATTTATTACTGTCATGTAAGAGCTTACCAATGTACTAATTTTTAAGTGCATCTATAATACAAACTACTTAAGATAAGGACTATTTGGTGTTTGCTTTGTTACCTTAATTTAAGACTTAAGCTAGCTGTTTTTTTATTAGGTACTAATAAATGATACATTTTACCTCATGTACCAGAGGAAATTTGTTTGCCTGCTGCCTTCCCCATTTTGTGTAGCAGAGGCTAGGGTTGCCTACATCTCATTACTATAATAGTCTGAATACTCTATATCTTTAAGTGTGTTGATAAACATGTCCTTTAAACTTTTTTATATAAATGTTCATTTTAGTTATAAAACTTTAACAGTTTATGGTATTTTTAAAATTATCAAAATTCTCAATGTGTATTATACTTCTAAATTGGTAAAACATTTTTCTGTAACCATCATGTGGACATTATTATACCTGTGAGCCAATTGCCAGATTATTATCATTACGGAAAAGAGAATGAACTATTTAAGACCATTTAGAATTTGAGCAAAGAATTTCTCTAAGTACTTTATAAATCATAGAATCTAAATTTAGTTAATGCCATAAAATGACTTCTCTCTGAAGTATGAATAAACCATGTAAAGCATGTAGTAAGGTCTATTGAGTTCATGCCTTTGCAAAGGCTGTAGTCAAATTAATATTAAAGTGCAAGTCATTTTTATGATTTTTTTAAAAAGTAAATAATTAAATGTAATACTTCTAGAGCTAGCAAATATAGTCAGGAAAATATTGATTCTTGTTTTGGTTTTTTTTTAATTGACCACTAAAATTGAAATTATTTAAGTCTAAAGCTTTTAATTATTTTTCTTCATAACTGTTGTTACATTTATGCAAAAGAAATGTTATTTGATAAAAATACTGCATTTGCTTCCAATTTCTACATGATTAATACATGATTTCTACATGACTAATAATGATTTATTTAAAAAAATAAAAACAATGTCCTTAAGCTTTGTAATTTTTGATGTGGGGGGGAAAGACCCCTATGTAAAGGATTAAAATGGTGTTTGACTTTTAAAATAGAAATGAAATTCCTATACTGATTCTCTCTCTAGATCCATTTGCAACATTTCAACTACTGTATTTTTTTCTGCATTGTTTCTAGTTTATTAACCTTGCAAGAACTCTTCAGGCACATATGGAAGATCTCGAAAGTAGGTGGAATTTCCCCTCCCCAGACTTGTTGAATTTACTTTTGCAAATTAAACACACAGAGCAAAACCTAAGTATATACTCTCTCAAATTAGAGCTTCATTTATAGGCTTAATAATACCATTGATTTGGGAAAGATCGGCTGGGCAACTGACATTAGTTTTTTAAAAACATATTTTTAAAAAATAGTATTAATGTTAAGGTACAGAAGGATCTCATTTTAACCACCAGTATATTACTTTTATTTTAAATAAAATTTTGTTTTGGATCACCTTAATTTTCACACTCAAAACGAAGAGATGTTTGACTACTAATCAAGTCACACTTTTTAATCTGTTTTGTGTATGTGCATGAAATTTTACTTGTTCTGCTTTGTTAGATCATAAAAGGTGTTCCTGGGTTTATGTATAATTTTAGGAAAATAGGGGTAAAAGAGCCCTAATTCTGAGTCCGTAACAGAAGTCATAGTGGTGGGTTGGTTGTTTCTTTTTAGCTCCTTGTTCAGGTCCTCGTGGACCTTTAATAGGCTGCCAGCTCCAGTGTTTTAATATCACATTCCAGCATTAGGATTTCTGCCTGGGCTCCTATATGAAGGCATGTAATGCCCAAATCTTTACAGGTATCTGTACAACTTACCCTCTTCTCAAAGTCCTGCAACCTCTATGGTGCTTCATACCAGGTGGACACAGATATTGATGGCTCTGAAACAGTTTCTGGACTCTGAGATTACCCTGTTTAGTACTTTTTCACCCAAAGCAATTGGCTCCCCATTATCAAATTCAAATACACTCTTTGAAGTGTTTTAAAATATGTATTCTCCAATTGATTACCTTCTATATCATCTTCAAAATTCTTGAAAGTGTTCTCTGTAGTGTGTATGACATTTTCAGCATCTTTTGAAGGTTTGAAAAGGACTTAGTCCTCATAAGAACCTTTTACTTCCTTGATTACTGTTAAGACATGGATTTTTGTCATTAATTCTGTACTATTTTTAAGTTTTAAATTGTATATAAGAGAGTCAAATGGTATATAAAATGAGAATTCACTTGGTGTAAATATTTTTTTTCCTTTATACTATCTTAGTTCAGATCCCTTTTTTTGTAAATTATACTTTGTCAGATATGATTATAGTAATTTGTTTCGGTATGCATTTTCCCCAGATTGTTTTTTTTTTAAACACATTTTCTTTTATAATTTAGTTTCCTAAACATAGCAGTGTCTACTCCCAACATGTGAGAGGAAAAAGTTGGAGGTGAAATATACCCAAACTCAGCTGAGAATGAAAGATGTTGTAGGTGCTACAAGTTAACTACTAAATACCAACTTATTAACATATTTTGAATATTGGTTCTGACTGAATTTTATTCTGTGGTATAAACCAAATAGAAAACATGAGAAGTTATTTGCAAAGCTATTTTATTTTTAGTTTGATACTGCTTCATGATATAGCATAAAACTTAACTCTTGGATTTGCTCGTTCATGAGCCTTATGCTTGATATCATTTATCAAAAATTAATTTAAGTTTTCTGCAAGATAAACAAGTAGATTGAAATATGGAAAGTAAAGTTTCATCTGTAATGTAGCATAGTTTTTGTTGATTTGTTTGCTGGGTGCTCTTAAATTGGTTTTAACACGAAGAATATACATTTAACCTTTCTGCCCCTGATAATAAGGGAAATGCTAGTTCATTGTTTATTTTAGTGAACCTCCATTTTCTTTGATATGCAGAGCAGTTTACAGAATACTGATCTTCCTAAAGACATTTCAGGGTGTTTAATATTAAACTCTTGAGCCACAAATGACTTTAATGCAGAATTGTTGCAAAAGTGATAAGTATCTGACAATGTGGAGTCATAGGAATAATCTCAACAAAGGGTTTTTACTGAATCCAATTATTTTAATTTAGGCTTTGTCTATATAAAGCTAATTTTGAGTAACTAAAGAGAGCTTTTTCTTGGCATTGTATAGACACAGCTTCAATGTAATTTGCAAGAACACCCATAACCTATTCTATGTACATTTTCTTCCATTCTCACCGGATGCATCAAAACATGTAGTGTAATAAGCCAGATTATACTCAGGTGTGTGAGAGCACTTGCTTTAAGTTCACTTATTCTTCATTGTAATTGGCTCCTGTGAACACAGATTGATCTCAGAAACTTTTAAGATGTGCTTGAACCACATTTTTAAACACTTTTGTTTTTATAAAAGCATAAACAGATTTGAGGGTTGGGGACATTGTAGAATGGCATTATCCACAGTTGAACCACCTTAACCCTGTCATAACTTGTCATTTTGACCAAACAGTGTACTAAATTGGGATTTTATTTTACAAGTCATTGCTGTTCTGGCTTCATATTTACACTTCCATTCTCATCCCCCTTAAAATCATTCTTGATCATCCTGTTTTCTTTCAACAGCTTCAGAGGATGATTCTGAAGAAGATGGAGACCATAACAGAACATTTGATATCGCCTAACTTCATATAAGATAAATGGATGATCTGTTAACAAGTGTTTATTAAAACTGGCAATTAAGTATGAATTAATTTTGTGGGGAAATGCCTATTGAATACATTATATATAAAATGAATGAATGTGTGTGTGTATATATATATGTGCATACGTGTGTGTGTGTGTGTGTATATATATATATACACATCTATATTCATTCTCAAGTGTTGCTGAATTGAAATTCTACTTGCTGGACCTTCTAACATGGCCAGTGACTGATGTTTATATATTGGTAATCAAAAGTATTTTTCTTTTAGGTGAGTGGGAAAGTGTTACATTGTTTTAAATATCTGAGCAATGCCTACAACTTTTTTTTGGTTCTGATTATTATTGTAGCCATATTTATGAAAATGGTTCGTGTTTTAGTCTTTTGCTAGTGAAAAAAGTGAGACAAAACTATGGTTTCAAAATAAAATGCCAAATGGCACCTAATTACTTTTTCTTTTAAAATGCCTTAAGTTACAGTCTCATTTTCATAATCATTTGCTTCTGGTGTTTTAAAAAAAAGAAAGGGGGAGTAAGTTAGGAAGAAAAAAGAATGGGGAGTAAGTTAGGAAGAGCATTATATTAGGTGTCCAAATTTAAATTCTAAATTCACTTACTGACAATATGTAATTTTTTAAAAAGTATATCAATTTAAATATATTAATGATGGATAAATTTTTGTATTGGTTTGAAAAATGCAGATTATATTTGATAGGCCATAGTATGTAGATATTCCTATAGGAATATTACAGCTATAAATTATACCAGAATTGCCCGTTAAATTCTATTTGGTTAAAAAAATTATTGCAATCTGGAGTTGATGGAATATTTTTAAACCCCACATTAAAAGTTTAAAACACTGGTTTACAGTATGTTTTTTAGTGTTGTCACTTCTTTGTAAATAAAAACTTATTTGAATCCTGTTTGTTTAACTGTTCTTGCTAATCTGAGTGTTTACTTGGTGGCTTACAGAAGAGCTTTCTTTACCTGTTCACCATGAATAGATCTGCTCTGTGGTCATAGTTCCAGAGAACAGTATATTTTCTGTCAGCACCCTTAGAATTCACTTAAAAACACCTTCAGGTGGTTTTGGATTAAAAGTCTTAATGCCATGGCAACAAACTTCTTTTTCAGAACCTAAATAAATACCATGTAATTTCTCAAGTGTGAATTGACAGTTTGCCCACACTTAGATTGTTGTAAAACTTTGGCTTGAAATAAAGTGTAACTGATTGATTGATTTACTTTATAGTTTGAAATGTTTCCTTTTAAACTGGTGCTCAGTCCAGACTTCAAAGATTATAGCCAAGAATTTCATTAAATTTTCAAATTCCATTTCATACAAAAATACAAATGTTTCTAAAACATTTGTTCAACATTTACCTAATTTTGCATTCATTATCTTATTTAAAGTAAAAATTTAAGGATGCCAATTTCTATTTGGGTCCTTAGGGATGCTTTGAATTTGAAACATTTATACTTTTAATAGAACTCAGCATGAAAATTGTCATCTGCTTTAATCCACCAAATTTTCTATTAAAAAATTAAATGGTAAAAAACATTCCATTGGTATACATACACTTTTTATAGTACTTTTATATTAAGTGCTAAGTGACAGACAGTGACTTGAGCTTTATAGTAATTTTGTATTCCTTAGCACTACATATTTAGTATTATATTAGCTTCTCATATCCTGTAAATGTGAATTAGAGGACTTAGAATAAGAAAATCTTTCCACTGGTTATCATTTAAACACTGATCAAAAATAGAGACCATGCACTCACTACTTACTACAAAGATTGCAAATTCCTAGGAAAATGTATTTAAAAGTAATGTTATTCTTTCTAGATATCTGGATAACTAGAACCAAAATGTTGAAGAAAGCAATTGAAACATTCTGAATATAAACAAGCATGCATGTGTTATTTGTTAATAATAAAATGCAAACTTGAATGCTCCAGTTAATCTGTTGACTGAATAGATACCAGGGCCTGTTTACAGATGTTCTGATAAAGGAAATAGAGATTTAGCGTTTCATTGCCAGGGTCCTCTAAGAACTTGTTTGAAAGATGGAATCAAACATGGAAGAAAAATCACATTTTAAAACAGCCATTTTGTAAGAGCTGCCATTAGGTAAAAGTTACCAAAATTAACAGAAGAAAAGTAGTATGTTGTATGGGAGTTCAGTGGAAGAGAAGATTCTAGAGCAGCACCCGCTGACCAGTGAAAATGGAAATATTGTATAATTTTCATTGCCTGGCATGGTAGCTAATACATGCATGTGATTTGAGCATTAGAAATGTGGTTAGTGCAATTGAAGAAGTGAACTTCATAAGTTATTTTTCATTTAAATACCCATACATGGCTACTGGCTTCTTATTTCTTAAAGGTCTGACAGAATTTGAATGGGAAAGCAAGAAGGAATTCATCCAGTCTAGTTCACCACTATTACCATTTAATTGCTTATCAATAATAGAGTTCTAAAACACTACATGAATCTTAAAAATTTAAAAGACCTTACAGAGCATAATTGCATAATGTATCTGTTGTAACATTTGCTCTTTAATAGCATATGCCACATCATCACTGTAGTTCTTCATGTCTCATTAACAATCGTGCCATTAATTGTGATGGATATTTGATTCATAGTGTGGCCAATGGAAAACATGGCACAAGCTGTGGACTGTGGGTTAGGGAGAGAGTATTTGAGTTTTCATGTTTCTAAATAGAGTAAAAATAATTTTATATGAACTCTATATATTCCTTATATTCTGTAACTTGTTTTAGCTTTTTTCTGGTGTCATTTTTTTACTCCCCAAATGATTACCTTCACCCTTAAATTGTACAATGCTTGTGCTAAAAACTTGAAGCATCATTGCTATAGTAGTACATAGTGTTTTCAGCATTTTTTGCTTAGTTGTTACTGAATGATAAAGTTCAATGCTGAGGGAGTATGAGATAACCTTATATATCAGTGGTTCTCAACCTTCCTAATGCCGTGACCCTTTAATACAGTTCCTCATGTTGTATGTAGGCAGACCTGCCTGGTGACAGAGGAGCGATGTCTCAGTTCCTAAGACCATTTGGAAATACGTGTTTTCCGATAATCTTAGGTGACCCCTGTGAAAGGGTCGTTCAACCTCCAGGTTGAGAATCACTGTTAAATAGGAACAGGTCTGATCACAGGAGAAAAACCCTTAAAGGGACATTATGAATCAAGTGCCCAGCTACCTACCACCTATCTGGTATGGATGGCTATAATACTTTTGTTTCAAAAAAATTTATTAAAATTCTAGCCATTTGTGATCAGTGCCAAACAACTGTTTGTTGTCCAAAAAGTAATGATTGTAAAACGATGTGACTTATGTGGAATACAGGTTGTTAAAATCATTAAAAGTTTCTACATTTAAATCCTAAAGGAAGATGAAAACATTAGAGGAATTATCTGCCATAGTAACTAGTATGCACTCATATATATAAATATATAGCATAAAGTCAGGTTTATTTCCTGTATCATGTTTATTAATAAAAGCAAGACGTGCTAAAACTATTGGTAGGTAGAATTTTTTTCCAACTATAAACTAAGGTGGTTCAATTAAATGGGAGGAGGGGACAGAAGATAGAGCAGATAAGTAGAGTAGGTTTTTAATTTTACTTGGGCTTCAAGCTTTCCTTCAAGTGAAAAGTAACATTTGGGGAGGTGGTTAAAACACTAACATCTAAGATCATTCCTTTTTCAAATAAGATGAGGTGTGTTCCTGAAATAAGGATATATACCATAAAAATGCATTGTCAAATTTTATGTTAAAAGTCTTGCATACGAATCATTGTCAGTGTATTCGACGTCTTAGTCTGAGATTTCCAAAATTTCAGTCAAACTGAACAGCATGCTCGTTTTCTTCTGCAACTACCAAAACACAGTCATCATTATAAGGTGATTGGGGTGCAGTTGAAAAAACTGTGGTGAAACCAGAATGCAAATTTCTTTTGTACAGGAACCAAACAATTGCTCCCAAAACTGTCAAAATTACTGTGCTAGCAATCACCAAAGCTGATATTAAAATGTGGTTATCTGAAAAGGAAAAAACAAAAGAACATATGGGAAATCAGGGTAAAGAAATTGCTAGTATTGTATTTTGGACACTAATACAGTTTCATCATGTAAATATTTGCCTATTTTGAGAATTTCACACACTGATGAGAAAATTATACATTTATTACTCAAGATTTACAGGTATTAGCTTGAACAACTCCTTTATTTAAAATTTTCAAGTAAAATTGCAATTCACTGAGATCCAAAAAAAAATCTCCCTTTTTGTCTTTTGAATTTATTCAAATAACTATATATTTTTTGTATTCCTGAAGTAATTACTTGGAATCTTTCTGTAAGAATTTAAAAACTCAAGCAAAATTACTGTTTTTGAGTAAGAAGGAGGACAACGCTTTGAGGAAGGTATTTGTATTTAGTAGTAAAAGTATATGAAAAGAAATCCCAGAATTGTTTCTCTTTACAGATGTAATTTTGCATTGATGTTTGAATATTTTCATAGTGCTCCTTTCAGCTGGTGCTTGTGAAAATGAGACTTGGAAATGTAAAACTTATCAAGGAAAATCTGGCCAAAAGTTATCTGCTACGGTGAGGGAAAGCCACTGATATTTTAAAAATAATGACAGGCTTCTTTTAAAAATGTTGGGTGAACTGAGGAAATGGCCACAGTTGAATTCAATTCTTTTCAGTCTTAAAATAGATAAGTTTTTGTAGTGATCACAATTTCTTAAGGTGCGTGGGTTGGTTATTATTAGAGCCATTTAAGTGAAAATATTTTGCAAGAATTCTGTAAACTGCAAATGGGATTCTTTCATAGTTAATTGTTTTCTCTGAATTTAACACAGCCCATTTGTGGTATAGCACTCTGACTTTACCAGTGTGAACATACTGATTTTATTTCAGTATATTAATGAATCTACATTATATTCATAATCAGTACTATGTACTTTAAATGGTGATTACATGACAATAGCTCAAAGAAAAAACAGTAAATTTTAGTCTTTGTAATTGAGACAAGGGCATTACAGACAATCATACCTTAACTAGTAAATTAAAATACCTAGTATCCTGAGAATTGAGCGGCATCCCACATTGGTGGGGTATAGTCAGTATATATGCTCCTTGTGTTTGTATATTCTGCAAGTGACTTGTGGCCAAGCTGCCTCTTTGGTTGGCTGGCTACATACTACCAAGATGTGAAAGAATGCAACTAATGAGTGGTGTGTTAAAACGATAAAGTTTCCCTGGCTGGTTTAGCTCAATTGGTTAGAGCGTTGGCCCACAGACCAGAGAGTCCCGGGTTCAGTTCCCACTAAGGGCATGTACCTCGGTTGTGGTTTATTTTTATCCTCACCCGAGGACATTTTTGTTGTTGTTCAGATAGAGTGGGAGGGGGGGAGAGAGAGACATGAAAGGGACACATCGTGTGGCTGCCACCACCCAAGTGACCAGGGCCGAGGACAAACTGCAACCGAGGTACGTGCCTGTAGCAGGAACCAAACCCAGGTCTCTGGACTGCAGGCCGATGCTTTAACCGCTGAGCCAAACTGGCCAGGGCTCGGTTGTGGTCTTGTGGGTGGCAGCCAGTCAATGTGTCTCTATCACATCAATGTTTCTCTCTCTTTCCCCCTTTTTCCCTCCCACTCTATTTGAAGATAAATGCAAAAAATGTCCTCTGGTGAAGATAAAAAAAATGAAACAACTGCAAAAGGTTTTCTGCCCAGCTGGTGTGGCTCAGTGGTTGAGCGTCGGTCCGTGCACCAAGAGGTCACTGGTTTGATTCCCAGTCAGGGCACATGCCCAGGTTGTGGACCAAATCCCCAGTGGGGGACATGTAGGAGGTGGCCAATTGATGTTCTCTCTCATTGATGTTTCTATCTCTAACCTTCCTTTCTCTCTAAAATCAATAAAGAAGAAAAAAACCAAACTATGTAAGGTTTTCCATCTGGAGTTAAAGATAGTTCTACATTAGAAATAACTATAAACAGCTTTTGGCTAGGAAGGTAAGTCTTGCGTAGCCTAATTAAAGGAAGTTTAGAAAGGCTCTAACAAACACTTATATTTAAACAAGCTATCACTCCACTCACATTTCTCAAACCCAAACAATCTGGCTTCTCAACCAAAGGTCACTAATGATCTCTTACTAAATGCAGAAACATGTATACTTTGTTCTTGTGTCTACTGCA